GCCGAGCCTGGTATTTCTTTTCTATCTTTTTACTTTCACCTTTCTGTACCTTCTACTGAAAGTGTGTCTTATGTAAATGGCCCACAGTTACTTATTTTTACCCCTCTGCAGTTTATTTATTTTTACCCCTCTATCTTGCAATTGGAGTGTTTGAGTCTATTGTGTTTAATTTAATTAACATCATGTTTGGGTTTAAGTCTACAACTTGCCATTTCTTATTTTTTTGTTTTTTTTCTTTTGAGACAGATTCTCACTCTGTCACCCTGGGTAGGGTGCCATGGCATCACAGGTCACAGCAACCTCAGACTTGTGGGCTCAAGTGATACTCTTGCCTCAGCCTCTTGAGTAGCTGGGACTACAGGAACCACCATGCCTGGCGAGTGTTTCTATTTTTAGTAGCGATGAAGTCTCCCTTATGGTCAGGCTGGTCTCAAACTCCAGAGCTCAAGCAATCCACCCACCTCAGCCTCCCACAGTGCTAGGATTACCAGCATCAGCCATGGCACCTGACCACCATTTACTCTCTTTTTAATCTATCTTTTCTTTGCTTCATTATTTTTCTTTTCTTGCCTTCTTTAGATTAGTCAAAAAACTTTTTCCTTATTGTAGTCTTATTAATTATTGTCTAGTTATATATTCTCTTTTTATTCCTTTATTTATAGGAGAAAGCATAATATCAATTCATGATATATTCTAATGAAAATTCCATGACTTTTGCTACCTATGCAGACAGTCCAGGGAGAACATGTGCAGTGGCTGTGAGCTGTGTGATGGAAGCGGGAGAACCATCTAGCGATGGAGCTACAACTGCAGAGGCATCAGGGCCTTCTCTGCTGGAACTCCAGGCCCAAAGACCCTCTTTCTTTACTGTTGTTCCTGACCTAGAGCTGACATGCTCCAGCCCCAGTGAAGGTCCCCTCCCTGGTCACATTGTGGTCACCTATAGTGACTACATGCATCACCCAGAGGATTAGCTGCCCTCTAAGGCTTGGCCCTTAAAAAGGAATCCACTTATTTTGTCTGTGTAGTGAGCATTTATTATGAATTTTATACATCATACCCATCTCTCGAATCTGCACTCAGAACACATTAGGGGACCATCACAGGCCATGTGGATTCATCCTGGAAGGCCTGTTGACCAGTGTTTATTGTTGCTTCTAGGGAAGGAGTGGAGAGTGGAGATATGGTGGGTGCTGGAACATCTGGGTCTGTTCTCACAGGATTTGAGTCCTGAGCAATGATAAAGTCTAATGGTTGTGGGAGTATTTATTTTTTCTCCCAATGGTCGTTCCCTTATAAGTCTGGTAATCACTACTTGCTGCCCATAGGCTGGTGCTACCGGGTCCCCACCTGTTCTAAGCCTCACCTGTTTGGCTGCACCCATGATTCTACGAGCTATAGTCATTACTCCCAGTCTGCTCAGTGTTTTGCCAAATACCAAGAAACTGATTTTGGTGCTGACAAATAAATAACTGAACACTGCATGAAGTACACAGACTTTTGGGGAAGAGACTGAGATATACTGAGTGGCACTTGGACAATTTTTATTATTTATTTGAGATGGATTTAGAGATGTTCAGGATTGAGGGCAATTGTATGATCACAGCTCACTGCAACCTGGAAACTCCTCAGCTCAAGTGATCCTCCCACCTCAGCCTCCTGAGTAGCTGGGACCTGTAGGTGGATGCCACTATGCCTGCATAGTAGTTTTCTTCAGAGATAGGTAATGTTTTTCCTAAGTTGCCAGGCTGGTCTGCAACTCTTGGCCTTAGGTGATCCTCTCAACTCAGCCTCCCAAAGCACTGGTATTACAAGTGTGAGATGCCCCACTTGGGCTATTTTAGTTAGAAGCAGGGTATCATCTACTACCTAGGCTGGACTGGACCTCCTGGCCCTAGTGACCCTCCCATCTCAGCCTTCGCAATAGCTAAGGCTACAGGTGTGCACCACAGCACTTGACTTTATTATAAAAAACAGAAAAGTGATTAGCTGTTGAAGAAAAGTTATGTTCATTCCCTACTCAGCATAATCTTTAGTGTCTGCAAGAACCTTCAGGGCTTTGAGAGACTTTCTACATGATACTCAACAAATGAGGACATGTGGCCACTGTGAAACTGGAAGCTGTGAGTGAGGCAAACACGAGCTGTGTCCAGGAAACAAAATACACGTGTCACAGTACTCACTGGGATGACAGGTTAGCTCGGGGTCATGGCTTTTAGGGAGAATTCATGGGGCCCACAAGCCCCTCCTCTAGCAGATTGTTCCCACAGGCCGTGAGGTCCTGTGTGTAGGAGACTCTGAGGGAAGCGCTGTCCTTTACCACCAGGTCACCGTCTCTGGACTTGTGCTTTGATACACATCCCTAGGAATGAACACGTGTCCTCTGGTCCAGGGGTGAATCCCTGTTACAACATCCCTTTTGAGTGACTGCCCGGCCTGTGCTTATCCCTTCTGACTGATGGAGACTCCCCACACTATAGTGTTAGAAATTTCTCACAGGCAGCTCCTCATCTTGGTTATCTGAAGCGATTTCTTCTCCCTTTCAGCTAGATGGACCTCAGGGGGGTCATAAGAATAAGCCTGACAATGTCATTTTCCCATCATTTCTAATAGCAGCAGACACTCAGCCTACCTTTTCTTTCAGAGAATCTCCATCATCCAGCATCCTAATTGTCCTCCTTTGTCTACTCTTCATGTCCCAGCCTGGAGCATCATGTATGTTTCCTGTTACTTTCATAGGACACATTACCTGGGGTCCTTGTCCTCTGGCTTCTGGGGGGGGGGGGATAGTAGGAGGCATCTTTGTGTTAGTGGAGTGAGAATTCAAGGCATTTGTTACCTTGCTCTTCCCTGTGTGCTATGATGAGGTTATGCCTGTCTTCCTCTGCCCACAGCTGCAGCACATCTTCTGTGACCCCCTCTAAGGCTACAGGTTGCTGGGTTTTAGAAACAACCCCCTTCTTCTGTCCCTTCAGTCTAACGGGGTAACAGCCTCCTGCTAGTCCCAGGGCTCTCCCAAATGGTGCCATCAGCTGCCTGTGTAAATGGCCCCCTCATTATACTCTCTTCAGTGAGCCCTGTGATTGTGCCTGGTGTAGGGCCTCAAAGGGATAAAATATCAGCAAGAATTTACTCATATTGCAGAACTGACACATCACTTACTGATGTTAGTTCCAACATGAGGCTTACTATGATGTATGTGAATTAAGAAGTGTTCAGGTAAGAGTGATAGAAGAAGGGCAAAGGCAGGAACAGTCTGGCTATTAATGTGCGAAATTCAGAGAAACCCCATGTTCAGATGCTGCCACGGGTCAGAAACCTGCTGTCACAGCAGAACCTGGGCAGATCCCACCAAAATAAGACAGATAAATTCCACAGGAAGAAATGGAATTTATAAGGGAAAAATAAACAACACACCAGTGATGGGGCAGAATTGAGATGTGCCATATGCAGCCCTGAATCCCCATAGTTTTGCAGAATTGCTCAGCTTCCCTGATGTCTGAGGCCCTGTGATCTGGTGGAACAAAGGAGGAATGCAAACAACTGCGCACAAATGACCCCGGTTCTTGGTTCAGGCTGTTGTAACAAAATGCATAGTTTGGGTGTTTTCTCAGCAGAATTTTACTTCTGATATTTCTGAAGCCCAGAAAGTCCAAGATCAGGGCACTGGTGCATCCAGCGTCTGGTGGGGACCGGCTTCCTGCTTTGCTGATTGTTGTCTTTTCCTGTCTTCACCCGGCAGAGAGCAGAGAGAGGAAGCTGCTGTCTTGTGCCTTTTTATAAGGGCAGTAATCCTACTCTATGGTCTCCATGGTCATGACCTAATCACCTCCCAATGGGTCCACCTCCTTCCATCATCACCCTGGGGGTTAGGATTTCAACATCAGTATTTTGAGGGAACACAGACATTCAGTCTATAGCACCTAGTTGAGGGTGAATGTGAATGAGCATAAGGAGGGACACACACCATTTACCCTCCCCTCCTCCACCTGCCCTTCTCCTTTGCCCACCTGCCACTGCCTCAACACAGATGGATTTCCAGAGATGATCAGTTTTACGTTGGTGGTTCCAAACTACAGGACCCATCCATTTATTCTCCTTTATCAAGCTACCCAGATCATCCTAATGAGATATTTTAGAAAAATATCAATTATAAATTCTTATTCATGGGGCAGCGCCTGTGGCTCAAAGGAGTAGGGCACCGGCCCCATATGCCAGAGGTGGCGGGTTCAAACCCAGCCCCTGGCCAAAAGAAATTCTTATTCAGTACCACAAGCTAGAATGAAACAGCATTGAGTCTTACACAATGCATGGATGGGGACAGAGATTTTTTAGTTCCATCTCCTCTGAGAAGGAAAGGGGTTCCTGGGGCAGGTCTGGGGTTATAGAGAGTATCAGGGAGGGGTTTGAAGATCCTGGGAAATGCGCTCTTCTCCTGCCTCCCTGTAAGTGCTCATCTGAGAGCAGCACAGACACAGGACACCAGCTGGAGGAGAAAGAAGTCCTCCGGTCCTGCCAGTCCACAGAGAAGCAAAGTGGAAAAATCTGAACAATTCATGTCTCACCAGTTCTGTTCCACACAATGCAGGTTGTTCAAGCTATGGGGAAAAACTTCTCTGACTTTCTCAACTTCTTTCCCACTGACCAGCCCTTATACCAAAACCTCAGGATCCTTTAACAGAACATGAACAAATTCAGGTCATTCAGGGCAAACACTGCCAGGAAATGTGTCTGAAATCTCACCTACACCTCAGTCACCCCTCAGGACCTGATGTCCCCAGAGGCAGATTTAAAGATCAATCCTCTCCACAACCTCCTCTGAGTGAGGCCAACATAGGGCTCTTTCCTTGCTCGGGGTACTCCTGAAGGTGTCTTGAGGGCCCTAGTACCTGCCTGCAGCACCTCACTCCCACCTTCTGGGTGTTGAGTAGTTGACCACACACACTTTGATCAAGTAGTGTCTTGTGTACTTTACAAAATTATTCTTCTCCCTGTAGTACTTGACCACCTCAGCCAGACTGTACATTGCTGTTCAAGCCTGCAGTTCCTCACTCAGGTAGATGAAATCCTCCCCGTCCTAAGAATCTTTAAAGTGTCCCCTCAGGAGGCTTCCCTTGGGCACCACCATGTAGCAGTTTGTCATCTTCAAGGTACAAGGCCCTGGACCCTCCCTGGCCATTACCCTTGTCCCACCCCTCCCATCTTCTCATTTCTTCCTATGAATGGGCAAAACAAAAGTCAGGGACAATCCAGATTGGAAAGAAAACCTGAAGCAAAAGCCTCACACCTGTCCCAGGCCCTGAGGGGTCAGAGTATTCCCTGCCACTCCAAGGTTGCTCTGGAGCATCAACCACCCATATTGAGAATAGAGGGATCTAAATAGCTGCCTGATGCAGGTAGTATGCACCTGCTCCCCAGAGAGGAAAAGGAATATAGTATGTAGACACTCACACTCTGAACAGATCATCAGGGAGAGAACACTAGGATTCATCAGAAAAGTGACAGGAAGCATCAAAAGGAAGTGAGAGAAGGCTTGAGGCAGCTTTCCCAGCTAGGACTGGCTGGGAGCTGGGAGAAACTCTAGGATACAAGAAAACATTAAGAGAGAACCCCCAGAGCTCCATACTCTGAAAAGTGTTTGATGATCTTGGCTATAGAAGAACCACTTGACCTATAGAGATCTTGGGCCTAATATAGGTAGCTGCCTAGAGATTGCACAGATAGAAAGCGAACCAGAAATGGAACCTGCAGGAACTTCACAGGCATCTGAGCCTGTAGCTGCTTCAGCTTATCCCTATTCTGAAAGGCTAGCTACCAGGGATCTAGAGACACATCTGCTACCACTGCAATTTCAAGGAGGGTGTTAACACCCCGTTACACCAAACATTCAGATAGCTATATAACAACAGGAAATATGAAAAAGGAAACAAACATGACACCATTAAAAGACCACAACAATTCTCCAGAAGTAGAGCTTAATAAAAAAAAATTCCTCATGCCTGTGGTCCCAGCTACTTGGGAGGCTGAGGCAAGAGAGTTACTCAAGCCCAAGAGTCTGAGGTTTCTGTGAGTTATGATGCTATAGCACTCTACCCAGGGTAACAGAGTGAAACTCTGTCTCAAAAAAAAAAAAAAATTCATCAAAATGACAGATAATTAAAAATATTGATTTTAAAGAAGCTCAAAAATGTGTAAGAGAAAACCAATGCAAAGCAATTGAAAAATCAGACAGGATGTAAATGAGAAATTTGCCAAGGAGACAGATATTTTGGAAAAAACAACCAAACCTCTAGAAATTCTAGTACGGAAATATTTACTGAAGGATATACAAAACATTCAGCAATAGACTAGACTTAACAGAAGAAAGAATCTCAGGCAGGTTTTAAAAAAATAATCCAGTCAATCAAAAATAGGAGAAAAGTAATAAAAATAAAGCTATTGAGACATCTGAGATTATATAAAGCAATCTAGCTTACAAATTATCAGTATTTCCAAGGAGAAAAAGAGATCAAAAAGTGTAGAAAATTGTTTAAAGAAAATAATAGGTGAAACTTTGCAAGTCTATCAAGAGAGGTAGACTTTCAGATATAGGATTCCCAGAAATACCCAGGCAAATACACTACAAAAAATGACTTCACCACACCATGTAACCAAAATGCCTGAAGTCAAAGTGAAAGAAAGAATTTTAAAATTAGTAAGAGGAAAGCACCTAGTCATCATCAGACTAATGGTGGATTTCTTAGCAGAAACCACACAGGGCAGAAGAGAATGGGATGGCATTTGAAAGGTGCTGAAAGTAAAAAACAGACAAATAAAAAAACTGTCAGCCAAGAATTTTATATCCTGCTAGAATAATGTAATGAAGGAGAAATAAAGTTTTCCCTAGAAAAACAAATGCTGAGGGAATTCATCACTACCAAATCAGCTGTACAACAAATGCTCAAAGGGGTCTTAAACATGGAAACAAAAGGTCAATATTCATCATATGAAAACCCATGAAAGTATAAAACTCACAGGTCTTATAAACCAAGCACACAAAGGAAGAAAAGAAAGGAATCAAATGGTAACACAAATAATTTCACCAAACCACAACCACAAAAGAGAAAAATAAATAAAGAATTTATAAAATAACTAGAAAACAATTAACAATATGACAGAAACAAAGCTTCGTGTATCAATATTAATCTTAAATATAAATGGATTAAATGATCCACTAAAAATACATAGATTGGCAGAATGGATAAAAAAGTTATTGAACTATATGCTGCTTGTAAAAAACTCACCTCATAGTTAAAGACAAACATAGAAAGTAAAGGAGAGAAAAAAGATATTCTATGCAGATGGAAACAAAAGTGAGGAGGAGTAACTGTATACCAGATAAAACAGATCTTCAATCAAAAAGAAAAAGAAGGAAGGTCATTATATTATGATAAAGAGATCAATTTTTCAAGAAGATATAGCAATCCCATCAAGTATTTTTTCAGATCATGATGGAATAAAACTAGAAATCAATACCAAGAGGATCTTTGGAAGCTATAAAAATACATAAAAATTGAACAACATTCTCCTGAATAGTCATTGCATCAACAATAAAGAAAGGGCAAACATTAAAAGTTTTTTTGAAATTAATGAAAATGAAATGCAACATATGCAAACCTGTGGGATACAGAAAAAGCAGCATGAAGAGGGAAGTTTATAGCATTAATGCTGACAGCAAAAAAGTAGAAAATTATAAATTAACAACCTAACATCGTATCTCAACCAACTAGAAAGACAAGAACAAACCAAATTGAAATATAGCAGAAAAAGAAAACCAAGATCAGAGCAGAATTAAATGAAATGGAGACCACAGGCTTGGCACCTGTGGCTCAAGTGGTTAAGGCTCCAGCCACGTACACCCAAGGTGGTGGGTTTGAATTCAGCCCAGGCCCACCAAACAACGATGGCTGCAACCAAAAAAAAAAAAAAGCTGGGCATTGTGGCGGGTGCCTGTGGTCCCAGCTACTCGGGAGGCTGAGGTGAGTTATGATGCTATAGCACTCTACCCAGGGGGACAGCTTGAGGCTGTGTCTCAAAAAAAAAAAAAAAAAAAGACCACAAAAATATAAATAATCAATGAAATGAAAACTGGTTCTTTGAAAACAAAAGTAAATTGATAAATAATTAGCTAACCAAGCAAAAAAGGGAAAGGATCCAAATAGACAAAATCAAAAACAAAAAGAGAAATGTTATAAGTGATTCCAGAGAAATACAAAAAATCATCAAAGACTATTTTGAACAATGATACATTACAAAATAGAAAACTCAGACCAAAGGGATAAATGCTTGGAAACATACAACCTCCCAAGATTGAACTAGGAAGGAATAGGAAATAGATCTGCTGAACAGAACAATAATGAGAGTGAGACTGAATCAGTTAAGTAAAAATCTCCTAACAACAACAACGAAAAGCCCAGGGCCAGCAGAATTCACAGCTGAATTCTACTAAACATACAAAAACAAACAAACAAACACAACTAAAAGTAATCCCCCAGAAATAGTTCCAAAAAATCAAGGTAAAGGGAATTTGCTGTAACTTATTCCATGAAGTCACATGATTCTAATGCCAATACCAGGTAAGGATACAACATGAAAAAGAAAACTACACATCAATATCCCTGATGAAGACAGATGCAAAAATGTCCAATAAGTTATTAGTAAACTGAATGTAACAGCAAAGAAAAATGTAATACACC